AAATGATGTAATTATATTACTTATGGGAGAGGCTGTAGGTGGAAACAATGAAGACTGTGTTCTCAGAGTCCGATAATAAATAAAACGATCAAACAAAAAAGTATTTCTTTTTTTCAGACAGGCGCCTGATATCTGAATATGTCGATCAATGAGAACCTATCCATGTATATCTTCACAAAATTTATAATATCACAATTGTGTCGATTATTTAGATTAATCAGACAGACAGCCAAAGGGTAGATAAAGTTGCATTTGATATAATTACACACAGAAATGAAAATACCAAAGATAACTGAGATGTCATGAGTACAGTCTGTCTACTCCATCAGAACATCCATGTTTTACCTTACGTGAGGAAGTAAAACGAGAGTATGAAGGGTAGAATTGTTTGCGCTCTGTCTTAAAAAAAAAAAGACAAGTGTCTCCTGCGCCACTCCTCACGATTTGCAGATGTATTAGAGTTGGCCATGCAATGTATAAGAAAAAGTACTGTCGTAGTAAAGCAACTTTTTAAAGGTTAAGTGCAAGTTCAAGCGTTTATTATACAGTAGGCCAATTGATGCAATTGATCGAAATGATTTCCATATGTTTCTAAATGTAGGTGTAAATAAAGTCGTTTTTGAACTCGGTGGCACTAAATGCCACTGGTTAAAATGTAGAAAAAACAGGGAGACCTGTTTTGCAGACTGCCATAAAAAAAGGATGGTGAAATCTACAGATTACACGATTACACAGACCACGCCCTGATGCTAATGGCGGTTGTCCTCTACCAGCAGTTAAGGGGCAAAGGTGAGCACTGATGCTACTCAGTACTAAACTAATTTAAAACAAGTAACGGCAGTAAAGAAATGTCAGTCAAATTAATGCTATTTTTTGCCATCCACCCCTGTGTAAGTCTTGTAGTTTCAACCTAATTTCCTGCCGTTGCCCTAGGTTTTGTATACGCGCTTCTTTGCCATAATGTTTTTCCGTTGGGTCATACAAGGTGCAAACTTAACAAGAAAAGTGCGGTTATTTTTTCCGAAATTCTATTACGGTTGACTGAAGGTAAACTTTTCTTAATTCGGCCAATGCCTTGGGTAATGTTTACACCAGTGATTGGCACATGCAGAAGTCGATATGGCTTTTATCAGCGCCGATATGTCCGACCTGCGTTTTGACATGCACAGCGATTTTTAAGTGGCAAACCATAATTGCCGTAAAACAACATGTGATCCGAGTAAAACAACGCCTATATCAGATTGCCTGATGGTGAAATAACACAGCACGTTTAGGAAACGCAACTGGCTTTCTTAACACCATTCACTGGATTAATGGGACTTCAATAAATGGTTAGTGGTAAAGTTTACGTTTCATCATAGAGTATAAACACCCTCGTAAAACGGTCAAAATGTCACACAGGGCTGTATTTGAATGAAACTTAAACCAGACACCATTTTAAATGCGATCAGTAATTATATACCGCGTTTGAAAGACTGTCTAAATGAAAGTCATAGCGAGAATGTAAAATAAATCCAGCCACTTACCTTTTGACTTTTATCAAATAAAATAAATTCGCTCTTTTATTAAACTTCGAAATTAAATATAAAGTCACAGTCCTGTGTTTCAGGCGTCCAAGCGGTCGATTTCAAGTCGTCTCGAGGATCACCTGCTGGAGGATTTGTTGATTTTCAGAGACAAAGGTAGCGAAAATTTCGTTTAAAAAACGACTTCTGTGTTTTATAACCATTTCATCACTTAAATTTGCCATAATTAGTATAAATCACCAAAACATTTTAATTAGAAATGTATATATGTAACAAGAAAAGCACGAAGATTGTAAAAGACAACAGGTACGTTTTATTCAGTATTTTGTCACCTAAAACTTTGAAATACACGTTCGATACGTTTTATCACCAGTGGAAAATAGGGGCAACCATTTTGCCCTTATGAATGTAATTTCGGTGTCGTTATTGGCTCAATGAATTGTTGTTGGCTGAATTTTTCAGCAGCTTATCATTTGCCAGAGAACATGAAATTTACAATATATGCTGTATTTATTCTATTATTTTTCTTTTCATTTTGCACTTTGCTATGGATTGTATTGAAAAAATTAATTCAAAGCCAGAAGCGTGAAAAAGTTAGCGTACTTGATCGACTGTATCCTTAACATAATTTGTGAATGCACCGATGGATTTTCGGTCGACAAGGTTTCAGCATTGTTCTGGTAACAGATCTCAGGTGACCATTCAAATGCTACAAAATTCCCATAGCTCTTACACCAATTATTTACTATTAAACCCTGTCGCGTTAAATCAAATACGTCTGGCAATAATGTCTTTCATTTGAGACGCGTGACGTTGGAAACTCCATTGGTCAGATTTTATCAGATCAACCTATCAGATGGAAGTCTAGGTTTGCCCTGAGCAAAGCGCAGTTCTGTGGCCATGTATCACCCATAATGTAAACACACACATTTCACTAAGAACATGTCCTTAAACCTACTAGGCCATGGGTAATGAGAATCATACGCTATGACTGCAACCATTTGTTATCTACGAAAGTGGTTAGACACCCCTACTTCCTGGCCTGAATCGCTGGTACACCACCCTTATTTCACGCCCCATCTTTGACGCTGCTCTTCGCGGCATTCGCTTGCCGTTACCGTCTACGTCTTGATACAACAGAATGATTGCTCATATATATTTTACACGTGAAGAATTATTATTTTTATTATTATTGTTATTGTACATGTATAACAGCACATGGTTTTGTTTAAAGGGTTGACTCAAGTTGAGCCTATCACTACAACAATGCAAACATATTTGACATGCATTTTCATAATGGAAACTTTAAAAAATCTATTGGCTGTATTACGTTATATTAATTTAGTTTGAAAACTAAACTGGTCATATCGTGATTTTTCTATCCGCCTCGGCATGCGCAATAGTTAAGGTCGATGGAAAGAAACGACGCATTTCCTGGCTTCTTGACCCTCTTTTGTATTTGACCTTTACTGTTCTTTTAAATCACCATCTTTTTGTGACCTAAACAAGCACGTTTACCCGGGCGGGGTGCTGTTATTTACATCAAAGAAAAACGTCCAAAACGAGAGCCAGCTACAAGAAAAAACAGACTGGGATTCAGTATGTATTAGGGGCAGATTTTGTTTAGAGGGCAAACCTCCAAAGAGCTGGTCGTGTGACTCTCCATCATTATCATCATGATGATAATAATAATAATAATAATAATAATAATAATCAATCATTGCCATATCATTTTTCATTGTAAACAGAGGGAATAAATCATTACAACATTATGATGTTCAACGTACTCCATATTCAGTCTTGTCGCGCCTAGCTAGTCTGCTGCATTTAAATCTGATCGATTTTATTTTTTGCACTTTCTGTTCCCCTTCGCTCAAAGGGGAAGAAGGAACACTTATGGTAAGGACAGTGTAATGATGAAGGTTTTTTTTCTCTTACGACTGCACGAAGAATCTCTTTTATTACTAAAGTTTTATACGTAAACTAGGTAGTCTTGTTAGAAAAACATAAATGCGTTACGTCACAAAAGGACAAACTATGCGATACTGTGTTACATCTGCGATAGATACAAATATGATGAATTACACGACGATTTTTTCTTTTTCTTACTTTCTTCTTTCAGCTTGTGTTTTTATCTTGCACTCAGAAAACTCTTTAACTTGATAACAATTGTTCTTTTTTGTGACATCAGATCATTATTTTCGAACGAAGCCGTTGCTGTTAAAGCAAGCGAAAAACTAGACGCACTAATTTGGAAAAGCAAAGGTTCAATTGTCATTTAATAGGCGTCGCACAACTTACCTAATTGCACTTATAAGTGGTGTATCATATTATCCTTGTTTTCCCTATATTGAAAGCGTTACGAATATCCGTACTCCTATTACCATTAAACGACTAAAAGACGTCACCTTTTATTAATGCAATTTCAAAGCGTAACTAACGTTATTCTCTCTTTTTACCTGGCATATATCGCGTTTTTAGATGACACGCAACAACTAACACTTTTACGTGTTGTCCCAGGTTCCTATTCAACATAACTTGGTACTGCCATCACTCGTTTTTCATCAATTCTTCCGGTCCCGGCCCCCCACTCCCGCCCCTCTCTCTCTCTCTTAAACACACACACACACACACACACACACACACATAAACACACACACACACATTAAACAACTGAATCCCAGCGTCCACACGACGTCATTTCGACGTCTGTATTTGATCGACAGACGTAGATAGACGCAATATTGTCTAGCGACGTGTTTTAAGCTCACGACTACAGTTTACAACCAGACTGAATTTGGTATTTGTGGATATCACCGTATAAATTACCTGTACCCCCTGGGCCGGTTTTTGTTGATGAGTACACAATAGTCCGGAAAGATCAAGGCTAATCATGTTTCTTTAATGTGGTAACAAAATCGTCAACCTATCATTACTTAATCAAACAATTATTTTTCAATTCTAGAAAATGCCCTGCAAGGGTAATTTCTCAAATCATTTGTGCGTTATGTCTCTTCTTTCTTTGAATCACTCCTCTGTACTAGTTTATTAGACAGCAATGGTTTTGTAAACAGATACTTCACTCGCTCTTATCAATGTTTTGGGGGATTAGAAAGGATAATTTGTTTACCTATTTTTCCGATATAATAGGGAATATATGTACGATATTTTATGTTTTAAATCTGACCTCTCCCAAGAATCTTTATTTTGTCCGTAAACTTTCACCCGGAGTTACTATAAGCGCGTATTTTTTTCAATAGCCTAACAAGGTAAAAAAATAAAACCATTAAAGATCAGAGTACCTGTCACATCGGATAACTGTGGTAGCAAGTTTGTTAAACAGGCCATTGGACACACATGCATCAGTCACTGAACCGATATGTAGCTGGCAATGTTGCCATGCGTCACTCGGCAGCATAGTTCAGCTCGGGTCCTTTCATCCTGGTCATGGGTGACGTAGCGGCATAGTTTTGCCAATCAGATTTTTCCAGACGTCTGCTGTAAATGTAACGTTTGCCTCTTCGTTTTTACAGACGCAGTGAGGTCGATCGCCAGCCCGGTAGCAAGCAGCTGAACACTGAGTGTGCATGCACTCAGTTTGTTAGTGTTTTTAGTTTCAAAGAAGCCGGGACTCTCGCTGCCTGTCATACCGCAAGCAAAACTTGAAAATGCATCTGTCCACCATTATACTTCTAATGTTCGTCATTGTTACCTGCCGTTCCCAGGAGGCAGGGAACAGGAGACACAATCACGGTGTACCAGACGTGGAGGGGTTTAGAAAAATTAAACTTGTCGGCGGGAGGACGCCCAACGAAGGGAACGTTATGATCTATCACGACGGAGAGTGGGGCATTATCTGTGATGACCGTTGGGATAAGAAAAACGCTGACGTCGCGTGCAGGGACCTCGGTTACCTCAAGGGGGCAGCTTCTGTTACTAAAAGGAACCACTTCAGAAAAACTAGTGGTAAGTTTCAATGTTGATTCTTTTTCGATTGAGTTCTCACATGCCTCCGCACACACACACACACACACACGCGCGCGCGCACACACGCTTGTTATTTCCATGGTTTTATACTTATGTGTCCATTTTATGAATCCAAAGCGTCAATCATAAATTAAAAAGTCAATAGCATCATAGCTAGCTCCTTTCCCTTGTACCAGTTTTCAATGTATTCAGTATGAAAAGGGTACCTTTCATCAACAAAAAGATCTAAAGAAATTTAAAAATCAGTTGCAGCAAAACCTCATGCCGACTCTCACCACGTTTTCCTTTTCTTTTGACCACTTTTAATTACGTGACTTTGCATTGGTAGCTCATGCCACGTCCTTTAACGCGAAGTTATTTCCTGTGCATTTTTGACATTAAGTGTGGTTAGGGTTCTAGCTGTTGGTTGGTAGACTGCCGTATGCGGGTCACAGACTAGTAGTTTTTAAACTAAGGAACAGTAGCTGTCTTTCACCAGTCTGAACTGTTATGTAGTAAGTGCAATAACATATTTGAACGCATTATTTTTCAGACGAGTGTTGAACGCTTTTTAACAACCTCTCAGTGAAAAAGGCATTAAGCTTGCGCCCAACAGAAGGGAAACAACAAAGTGCCACTTATGAACTTAATTAACTATCAAAGAATATGTCTACTTTATATGCATTATTTACATTCCTCCAGGCGTTTTGTCTGCACTTCTTCAAATATAACCCGATGCTCCCCATATAAGGTCAGTACAATGTTGTTTTCTTTTCCTAAAATGAATTTAAAAAGTTTTTTAATGCTTCATGATTTCGACCCCATTCACCTTTACGCACAAACACACATTGACAAGCTGTCTAAGCTGTCTCGAATTGACTTCCTACTTTTACCTAAAAGAAAACAAACTTCCATCTCCCATGCTCCAACCCTGATTTACACATCGGTTCACATTCAATGCATCGAAATCAATATATATACCCTGCCATTAACGGATTTAACCTCGAACAACAATCCCTATTCAGTCCATCGATATCACTAAATATTCGCCTTGCTTCCTCTGATTTTACTTCGAACAACGATTCACATTCAGAAGATTAATTTCAACACAGACTAGGCATAGACAGAGGAAGGGTGAACGTTCTCGTAGAGCATTTTTTACATGAGGGTTTCAATTCAGTAACTTAAAACTATCAACTGATGTATAGAATTTGTAAATTACAAGGGCATGCTTAGTATGTGTACCACCCACTCTTTCCGGGAAAACAAGAAATACCTAAAATTTCTAGACTTACTTGGCGAGGGTTTTATTTCAATTGATTTTCCCGTTCATAATTTGACTACCGTTAGTTAGACGCTCCACTCTTTTACCAAATCTCCTTGAGAAATGTAGGAATTGTGTCTGGAATTGTGTGCTCGTGTCTGGGTCAGAATTTGTTCATCTAGTACGCTTTTCTGTTATTATTATTATTATTATTATTATTATTATTATTATTATTATTATTATGGGAATGAGCCCTTAGATTCCATGTGCTCTCCTGATCTCTGTTTAAAGCAAAACTTTGATATCTCTCATCTTGATCTGACATTACTCTATTTTATATACATGAGGCTTCTAAAAACTGGACTGACGTGAACCATGTCAATTGGTACGTTTGGCTTTAATTTTGGAGAACTCAGATAGAAAACGGGGAATTCCTGTACCACGGGTCCGCATTTTATATAAGTGGACTCTTCCTAGAATGCATCAGTACCTGGGGATGGGGGGTGGAGGGGGTCTTGTATCAGCCTGACAAAGAAGGGTATTAAACGGTGGTTATATATTTCACAAGTTTCAATATAAGATAACTGGTTGTTGAGCATGATAATTGAGTTTCTGTCCCTTACATTTAAGTCTGTATAGGCATTTTGGTGTTCAAAGCAGAAGATACGCGAGAACAGCTGCTGTTTGTGAAATATCTTGGCTACAAATGTCAACAGCTTGGACTTCAGCAATGTGCACATACCATATTTTATGAAACAAAAACTTCGTTTTCAATTTTACGTGCGGCATGTCAGCAAGCAACACTAAATAGTTAAGCATACACACAGCCCTGTAGTCACGATAATCCTTTCAGTTTGGCAAAATGTTGATCTTTCATCATTACGGGATTATTTTTTATTGTCCTTTCATGATAATATTTAGAATATTAGAAAATACATTTATTTACCTGTAGCAAATGCACAGAAACGCAATTAATTTCATATCAAAACCCAGTACACGTAAGCCAATAACGTGAATATCTGTGGAAAACAGTTGTATCAAAACATCAAATTACAAATGATTTCTAAAACTTCCTGTTCTAGTAAAATCCTCCTGAAATGCAACTACGAGACCAAATTAGGTCTGGAATTTGAACAGAACGAACCAGGTTGACGAGGTTGTATCAGGCATAAATATTTCCGACTGCATATGTTTCATGGTTTCTGTTCACAGAAAAAGCCAAATTCTGCGTTTTATGCGACCCAGGGTTTGATCTCCGTTTCAAACTGTTTACAAAAATGAGAAAACAATCGAAAGCAGAACACAACATTAATACATCATCAATAGTTTGAAAAATAAAAAACAGAGTAAAAAACAAGACACGTTTCTCACAAACGTTTCTCACAGAGACACTTAATTCACTTTATTATTCACATTTGTAAAATCTTTAGGCTAACATCTTAGACAAGTCATAGGAATAGAGTATCCAATTGATGATATTGATGTAAGATACCTCCATATACCCTTCGAGAAGGTTGAACTCCCAAGCTGGAAGCACGTTGAGTAGATTGATAATTTTGGCCTGTTGTTTCTTTTACACAGAGCAGAGCAAAATATGTGCAAGGAGTAACTACAATTCTTGGCTTTCTCCGTCCCAAATGTCCCCAAACAACGAAACACACCTAATGTTATAAGTGTGCATTAAAAGGCTTACTAAACTTGGTTACCAAAACGTAACTAAAATTATATATTTTCTACTTGGAATCAAATGGGTGTGGTACTTCATTTAAATGAAATCCAGTACTATATGATTGGCGCCCTTCAACTTTGTGTCATAAAGTTTTTGTATGCTTTTAGAACCAAGGTAATTCAATTGACGGTTGTAAAAACGATTTTCAGATTTCAATCTGTTGGGTATTGCCCTGAGTTACAGAGCACACGCCAGTTTTATGTTTTTCATTCATTTTGTCAATAACTATGGTATCATCTAAAAAAAGGGGAATGGGTTAGTTTCTCAGGGCATCATTATATAAGCTTTATTTACATTTGCGCTTCTTTTCAGCAAAAATCTGGATGGACGATGTTTACTGCTATGGGAACGAGAAACAGCTAGAAAAGTGTTGGTCTCTTGGCTGGGGCCGCCACAACTGCGATAGGAACGAGGCGGCGGGTGTTGTTTGTAAGGGGAAACGGACGGAACCTACTACTACCACTACAACCACCACCACCACTACTGCCAAACCCTTTGTATATAATGACGGAGGTGCTGCAGCCGCTCTGAGAGTTTACGACGATGCCCAGGCTCACGTTACACCATCTTTTGCTGATAATCGTGAGAATGGTTCTCGTTCGGTATGCCATATGGTTATACAATTTGTTGTAACCAAAACTTTTATGGTTTTGTGGTAAAAACTGTGAAAAAAAGGGTAAAATTCCACACGATAAAGTTGCTATATGCATGACTAAAGAAGTCATAGCAAACTGCTGATCACATTTAAAGGCAAGGCCTACTGGAAATAATCACACCTCCAACCACCTCTACTCACTAAAACCACCACGCATCTTTAATGTCATGCTAAAAAAACATCAATGAACTCGCGTTCAATGAAACCGCGTTCTAAAATATCTTTTTCTCTTTTTAAATAATGATCAGCGTATCTGTTTCAGGAGTATAAGGTTCGACTAAAAGGGGGAAGACACCGCAAAGAAGGTCGCGTGGAGGTTAGAGTGGACGGCAAATGGAAGACCGTATGCGGGACTTACTGGAGCCTTCTGGAGGCAATGGTTGTGTGCAGGCAGTTGGGGTATGGTTACGCTGATCGCGCTCATCGGGTAAGTACGTGTGCCAAGTCAACAAATTACAACTGTTTAGATAATTGTGAAGATTTAATAAATTATTCACATGAAAAGAATCTGGAAAAAGTTTGAAAGATATGAAAATGTGGCAAAATGGTGACTGATTGTATAGAGAGTGTGATAAAAATGTTGAAAATTATTTTACAACGATTTTCAAATAAATTTGCAGTGGAGAGAAAGATTTTATTATCAAAATTACTCTACTGCTAACGACAGTTTTGAACCTATATAGGCAATCTAAACTACTTTATCCTTTGCTGTAATCCAAACCGAGCGTTGTCGACATGAAATATATTTCGTGGGTCCTAAGCACGGGCATGTCTTGTCGTGTAGGATTCGAACCAATGCATCATTTTGTCGTAATAGGCAAACTATTTCCAAGGGCAAACCATGAGGAAGGCTTTTGCTGGAATCGAGTGTACGGGTAAAGAAAACACGCTTTCAGAATGTCGGCACCACAGTTTCTTAAACCACGAAGGCGTCAAAACAAGGTGCTCTAGACCTGCATCCATCGCCGGGGTGTCATGCACAGATCGTAAGTACGGTGATTAGATCTAGAGTCACCGACAAAATTTGCAAGTTTTTGCCTTCAGCTCTTCTTATTGTGTATAAGCCAATGCTAATTGTTTTCCCAATATATATATTAAGTGATATTTTAAATGTTTAAAGTTTTCATTGCAGAGGCGCACTAAACTGATATAAATATATTATCAAGTATATGGATGGTTGATTAAAAATAATTTGCAATTATTAAAGTATTGGAACCATATTAACATGTGTATAGGGTGTTTTGTTAAAATACATGCAGACTTACAGAGTTCAAAACGATACTATATCTTTCCTTCAGAGCTCCCAGACATCAAGCTGAATTTAACGGCTTTGGAAATGTCTGTTTACTTACAAGACCGACCCTTCCTATACATGACATGTGCTTTGGAAGAAAACTGCTTTCCGTCTGATGCCTACGATTACATAGAAAGAAATCCAAGTAAGAACAGAAAGTAGAATAGTAAAATGAAGCATTCTTTCCTTATATCTTTATAATGGACAATTCTACTCAATAAAGGCTCATTCCCAATGAAACTACCGTTCTACGTAGACCGATCCAACTCCGCGGGACTCTCGCTGATTTTACCTTTTATCTTTAATTTTAAATTTATGATTAAATTCATAATGTGTATTTTAACCCTCTCATGACACACATACACACAATCCTTTTGTGAAACCGTGAAATCGCCTTTAATAAGATATCTAACTGAACTCGTCTTCATTTCAGGAACTTGGTCCACTCACCAGAGGCGCCTGTTACGTTTTACCAGTGACATTCATAACCATGGGACGGCGCCTTTTAATCCACATACCCCCAAAACAGCCTGGGACTGGCATGCATGCCACTTGTGAGTGTTCTTTTTGGCCCCGGATTATTTTTAAGTAATGCAGTGAGTTATATAGATTCTTTTATTTAGATCATAAAACACCTATAGCCTCGAGCTGACTTTCGGCTGCACTTCATAAACGCTTTTTCAGGATATATGTTTTAACAATATGTTTCAACAGTATTTAAAATATGTTGTTTATATGCAGGGCCGTAGCCTCTGGGGGGGCAGGGGGGGCAGCTGCCCCTCCCCCCTCCCCCCCCTGGGATTTGAGGTGCAAAAAAAATAATCGCAATTTCTGACTTCTGATTGAGCAATAAATAACAGTTAAAATACACCAGAATGCAGTATTATACAGTTTTTTAAAATTTTCCACACCGTGGGAGGGGACACCCCCCCCCCTTGGTGGCTTCGCCCCCTCATGTCCGCTTACTGCCCCCCCTGGCAGTTTGCTCAGGCTACGGCCCTGATATGAGTCCATAAAAAGTATATACTTCTACCAAGAAGCACCAAGAATCAACAAGTACTCAATTTATTGTCGTAAATGGTACTTGAAGCTGGTTTAGTAACTCCTGTTATAACTTCATTTGAAACCCAGTTGCAATGCTTCTCATAAGGTAATAGACACAAGGCAATGGCAAAACAAACGGGGCGTAGAATAATGCAGATGCAGTACGTACTACAAAAGGGCAGATACAAACTACTTTGGTAAAAGAAAAACATGTACAATATGCATATTTGGTCGTTTCTGTTACAGACATTACCACAGTATGTTGGTGTTTGCACACTACGACTTGATAGACACTGAGGGAAACAACGTGGCTGAAGGGCATAAAGCAGGATTCTGTCTGGAAGACGTTCACTGCCACAATGGCTCCAAGAAAGTTTATTCCTGTGTTAACTATGGAGACCAAGGTTTAAATGTTTTTCATTTTTTTGGAACGCTTGAATTGTTTCTTACTTTAATTCATATTATTTTTGCACATTGCTTATTCGTGTGCTAATATGGTTGATTTTTATCTTATTTATATCCATTTTATCTTATTTGTATCAATAGGTAAAAAGCCTGAACTTTTCGGGTAAAAGTTACAAAAATATTCTACGCGTTTTACTGTAACTTCGCTCTTGTCCAGACTGACAACTTTGGGGGGGGGGGGCATATTAGCCTACATTAATCTATCAGTATTCATGTTGTTTTATACCGCCAAGTTAATATTCTATAACTGTGTTTATTTTTTACGATTCTTATAGTATTTCTGTGTGATATTATTAGGAATATCTCCGGGCTGCTCTGACGTATACGACAGAGACATTGACTGTCAGTGGATTGATATATCCAATGTCAAACCTGGGAATTATATACTGCGGGTACGTACTCTAAGCACGTTTTTCAGCACAAAATGTTTCACATCAGTCTTATGTCACCGCAGCGCAATACCACAATACCGACTCGAAGGGTGTGTGTATGCGGATAAAGCCCCACCCTCCACTTGTAGGCCTACTACTGGGGTGTCTAAGGCAGAAAAAACAAATCGATTTTGGGCCATTTAGAGGGAGGGGGTTTGGCTGAGTAGGATATTGTGCTTGTTGGAAGTCTGCCTCATGAAACACATCATAACATGGAAACAGAATTTTCCCATCCCTGTTCAATGCATATTATATTTAAATTGTTCTAGTCTCTCATTTCAAATTTGCCGAGCGAAGCCATTCGCTTATCCTTGCCCCCCTCCTTGCTGCCTTAGCAAATCCACCAGTGCGAGTAACATTTATGATATGAAAAACAATCGTGAACTCTTTTTTTTTTCATTTAAATACTTTTGCATGTTTCTGATGTTTGTGACAAACTGAAAACAAGTGAGCTAGCTATTGCTAACAAGTCAGTTAGCTATTGCTTTATTTGTGTTTTAGATTTTAGCTAGGTAAACGGACCGCAGACTTAGGTCTGCACGTTGATATGACTGTCGTTTACTTATAAATAAATGCATAAAGTAAATTATATGGCAATTTTTTTCAAGATACACATTAATCCCGAGTACATGGTGGCCGAATTGGACTTTGACAACAATATCTCCACTTGCGACGTTGTCTACACGGGTTTCAGTGCGTCCGCATCAAACTGCAGGATCGGAGCATAAAGGACGGTTAAGATGTGTGATATAATTCAAGAAAAGGGTGTTCTTGAAACAACCAATCTCACGAAGCGGCCTCGAAAAGAAGCATTTCTCTGGATCCACCACAAGGGAGGACGCTATAAAAATGATGTTTATTGTCTTAAATCCTCTGATTTACCTGTGTCTCGTGGCCAACAATTTAAAAGTCTGTCAGATTTTTCATTTGGATCGAAATTGAATGTCCCTGTTCCTATGCAAAGTGGGTGTTTGTTAGTTATCGTATAACTAAAAAGGAGATTGAGCCGAAACGAATAAATACAACCTTGGGTTGTTTAAGTATGACTTGCTTTCGTCATTGAAAGCAATTAAAGCTACGAAGCTCAGTAATAGCAACTTTGTTTGTTTGTATAAATGGAATTAGCTTACTTGTCATAGTTTTTTTTTTTTTTTTTGAATGCTTGATAAGAACTATTGAGTGTATCTGTTATTAGTTGCTTGTTCTATTTGTAACAGTCGGTGATTAATTAGTTTTATCTCGGCGTTGTTAAATATTTAATTCTTGTATTGTTTTCAGTATCAAAAACCTAACTAAGGTCCAGTAGGTTATATTGCTAACAAGTTTTGGAAAAAGCCTTATACTTTTTTTAACAAGAATTTCAAAATCGCTTGGCATTAACAATCTTGTGTATGTATAGATAGAGCATTTCGTGATGTGGCGCGTGGTTTTATGATTTTTGTAAACGAATATTTACTTTATCTTTGCTAATAGGACAAATAAAGGGAGAGCTGTTCAAAGAACATTACCTCCTTACCCTTAAACAATAGCAAGGCGTCTGTGTGTTTGTTAGGATTTAGTAAAATTGGAAAAGAAAAATCCCAGAAATTTCAAAATGCATTAAAAAAATAGCCCCCCTTCCAATCTATTATAACCGGGGAATAAAAGACACTACCCTAAGACCAACAAACATGATATACATTTGTAACATATTTTCGATGATGGTGCCTTGTATTGAAATCCTAATTGTGTTTGTTTCTTATCTTTAAAACGGATGTTAAGAACTAGATGCATCTTATAAAGGGGAATATTGCTTTCACGCATTCACAGCCTGGCAAACCTCTCTGTTGTTCTTCGGGTGCCCTTGTAGGGTCAAATTCTAAGCAGTTTCAACGAATTTTCCATTATTCATAAGTTAATTAGGAAAATACGTGCTCGACAAAAAGGAAAAACGGTGGGATAACACGGAGAAGTCGATTGTAGTTGTTTTATACGTAATGCTGTCTGGAAAGAGCAATTAGTAATGATACATGCAAATGGTGAAAATGATAAAAGCATTATGATTTAATTTACGCTTTGCTTCTTAAATAAAATGGGCCTTTGTGCGTGGGATTTACAATTCTTACATAAGATGGTCAAGAAAACAAAAGTGGTGATCGCTTCATATGAATGAAAATATCATATTGAAAAAGAGGAAATATGTATAATAGAAAACTTAGTACATGTTCATATCAAACATTGCTATAAAAACAGCATTTCACTAGTAAGATACTGTTAAAAGTAAGTATTAGCAAAACTTTAACATGAAAAATGAAATTGTCATTTTGACAGTAGCAAGCTCAGAAAAAACGTTCACTTTGAAACACAATTTAGTGAAATTTAGGCCTTCCTCCGATGCTATGAATCTTTTAAATATACCCAAGTTCAGCAATCATTAATCCGCCATTTGTTAAGTCTATTAGTTACAAAATACGATACGAAACATCTGTTATTTTCCAAAAATACATAAATATTTACAGCGGAAAAAGAACACAATATCCGTTGAATTAATACACATCGCTTCAGATTACACCGTAGGCTTTTGGATTAGTGGCGCAATTCACTATCACCTCTATCGCAATTTACGGACACACCTACTTGGTGTCAAACAGTGTATGCATACATATAGAACATATCTACTAAATGTTGGAAAGGTCATTATCATTATTTTACACGGTCAAAACTTTTCTTCCTGGTGCATATCTGCATGCAGCTGTCCTTCTGCGTTGACATTTGAAAGCACTATTCCACTGTCATGATTCCCATCTTTACTTGGGTGGTGATTCTCAGTACTTGAGCAGCGAATGCTTGTGTCAATGTCCCGCATTGATTTACACAGTTTAAGAGACTGTCCAATCTTTTTGAAACCTCGGCGAAAGTTTTGATTAAAAGTGCCGTAGATTATAGGGTTTATGCACGCATTTGAGAAAGTGATAGAAGCTGTGAGAATAAAAATCTGAGAAGAAAGCGTAGGTACTTCCATGTTCCCATCGTAAACAACCAGAGACAGTGTTATGAAAATAGGAGTCCAACTAACGATAAAAGCAACCACAATGATCACAAGGAATCGAACAACGTTCAGGTCTCTCTGATCTCGGGACGCTTCGCAATCGCTTAACGTCCTCCTTCTCAAAGTCTCCCCGTTGACATTATTTGTGCCGTTCCTACTTATTGTGCTGAAACTGCCGATTTCGGAACTTGTCCGGAGAGATTTGTTTAATTTTTGTCGCTTTTTCCACAAGAAATGAAGTATCCGCGAATAGTTGTGAACAATAATGACCAGCGGCACTATGAAAAAGAGGCTAATTCCAACAGCTGTATAAGGGTAGGACACGTTAAAAGTTTTGCTAACATAAGGCCAGACGAGCGTACATAGTGTCGCAGTGCCGTCTTTAAATGGAAATTCACGAATCTGGAAGTAAATTGCCAGAGGAATGAAAAATAATATTCCCGAGATCCATGTAAATGCCACCATACCTATCACGGTTCCTAATTTGAATTTCCGTGATCTGTGACCAACGATGACGCGAAAGCGGTCAATGCTGATGAATGTCATTGTCCATATGGATACGTAACCACACACGAATTCTAATAGAGGCATGAGGCCGCACAGTACTCTGCCAAAGATCCAACTTTCAGTAACCCGTGTAGTTGCAATGAGAGGGTTTCCCATAGTGAACAGTATGTCTGACACTGATAAGTTCACAATGAATAAGTTCGTGTTACTTTTCCTCATTCCCTTGTTGCTTATGACGACAATTATTACAAGGACGTTTCCTACCACACCCCAGATCCATAGTAGAATTAAAAAGAACACTTCAATCCCAACAATGGCTGTACTTTCTCTTTGGAATTGACCATAGTAGGCAAAGTAGGACCGGTTTCCCCATCCTTCCTCAAATCCGAAGAAACTGGATTTATTGACGGACGACTGCATTGCTTTCAGAAGATGCTGTTAATGTCGATCTTAAAGATTCCGTCTGTCAAATAGTTCCATCTTCATTTTTCGGCTTTCCCTGAAAATATGAAAAACGTGAGACTTTGTTGAAGATTTAAGGAAACCACAAATGTGTTTAATGCATTTGATGCACTTTAAAACTGTGGGAAATCTACAGAGACAGAGTAAAACCCACATCATTCACATTCATACGCTCGTATACCTTTGATTGATTATTCAACCAGACCACTATTCTAGCCTTCAGTTGATTTAAATATGTACAATAGTGTAGTACGTAGTAAATGTGCGATGTATAGTTTACAGTTATATATCTGTGATATGGTACATGTGCACCGTGCATGTCTATAGCAATACAAGTGAATGACCAACACATAAATTAATTCTTTTCAGGATCAAATGGTCACTATAGCACACTCGATGTGGTTGAGCCAGGAACTGAACATACAGCACTCTTTGTTCCATTATGATGAATGCTGTAGGTACATGTACCACAAGTGATTCAAATCTGCTTTCCCAACATGGTAGACCTAGAGCATTTTCAATGAAAAAGTTAAAGTGAAACTTTTGATACCCCTAGTTAAAAGGACTCAGTGAAAAATGCTAAGGTTCGCAATGAACCTGCCACTTGTCCTCTTTCGCCCCATTAGCATTCCACACATAACAGTGGCTAGTTCATGTAACGACACTTGCATAATGCCGGTTGTACTTCTGTAATACGTCTTCATTAGTGAACTTATATCAAAAGCTGAAATATCATATGACACGCAAAAAAGTTTCGAATTATTTCAACCTACAAGATGAAGAGTCTCTTGTGTTTTAGAATGGCCTTTTTTATTTCCTTAGTTGCGTACCAATTAATATTTGATTTTTTGATACAGTTGTTTATCTCAGTAGGTTCCAATAAATATTTGGGTTTTTATTGTTACATTATATCCTTTATTTCTGGTACAGTTATTTTTCATAGTTGAGAACTAGGTATTCATACCCAAACTTTATAGTACATCATTCGATCACAATCTTACAGGCCAGTGTAGAACACGGTCCCCTGAGAAAAGATTCTCTGAATGATAGATCTGAACACGTTTTACTGTCTTGTTCTACTGACCCCTGTTTTTTTCTCTCAGTCGTGTAGCACAAAATTACACTGCATCTAAAAGCTGAATTCAAATCAGCTGATCCAAACCACTTTCGCCACAATCCAAGGTGGTAAAGAGGAAGGACACAACTTTGAAGTTAAAACTTAAAAGTCCCACAGTAGTCAAATTGGTTAAGTGTTGAAAAGTGTCATCAGATATGTAATTTCAATGCAATGTGAAAAGCGTTTTGCCAATAGCTTGAAATATTGGCTATGTAAGAACTACAGTAGTTTATTTCTCATGCTTTTCTAAATTAGTATATTTGTTCAAGTTTTTCAATGCCGTAAACTCCAATGTAAGGAAAATAAATACCACTATGCTAGCCAGCATACACTACTGTGTGGTTTATGAGATGCAATCACGAAATAAAACAAATAAATTGGCTAAGAGAAGCAGATACAAACCTAGTCCAATGTGGTAGGATAGAACGATGAAAATCTATGATGGAAGTTCATGAAATTTACCAGATATCACGGTCTTGGCTGTCGTCGTCGTCAGTGGTGCAACTGAATTTTGGATGACTACACACCACTATGCACTTCTTCCTGCTGCCTTTTTTTTAGCAAGCTCATAAATCTATACAATTCAATGTCGTTTGCCTTATGAAAGTGCATTCAATCTGTCACATGGAGGCATGAAAACAAACACGTGATTCAATAGGGCATTTATAGCAATTACTTAGCATTTGTTTACTTGCCCAATCACATAACCCCACTTATCTCAAAAACACTGATAAGTAATTCTCGTAACAGTTTAGAATAGAAATTTTCTTTTAAAGAAATAATAAAGTTAATTACCAAAATGCCACTAGGCCTATGCAGACAGAGTCACAGGTATGGACGCTTATTCCATCACCACACAAACAAACAAAATAATGCAAACAAAAATATATATATTTTGGTAATTTTGTTGCCTAGGCCATTCCGATCACCTTGTGGACCTTTTCCGCCCTGCTTCACTCCACTACTCACTACTCCACAGGGTGTGCTAGAACTCTTTTACAAAAAAAAAAAAAGAAAAGATTTTGCATAGTACTTAAGTGGGCCCCTGATATCAGAGTGTATTACTCCACGATGTTGAAAGTTTGTTCCACAAGGAGTAATTGACAGGTGACCCTCTGGACTACACATGACTTTCTGATTCTTTAAATATGCGACTAAGCAGTGTGATCGTCCCACGAAATCATTTGATTACAAACCTGGATGAGTTCAAGTTTGTATTAAACTCCCAAATTGACGGTGCTGTCATATATGTTAAAATATGTTAGCTCCCATACAACAGGTTGCCACACTGTTCGTGATCTCATGGTGCTTAAAACCCTACATCATACTGAAAAACCTCAATCTCATTAACTTAATCATTAATATGCGTATTGGCAAATCTAGTGGTGACAGAGGTTCGATTTCCTGCACCTCTTCCCTGTTTTAAACAAAACTGTTCCGTGTGGTATATTAATCCCAAGGCTTAAACCTGAGGCAAGCCGCAAATTGATTATTAAGGTAGTGTTTGTTTTGTGGTAGATAAGATAAGAGTAATAAAACAGCAATAACGGTGCTTCTGTGTTCGGCCCACGGTTATAAATAATGGAAGTAAATAGTTGTAATGACTGGGAAAATTTGGTGGTTTACCCATTGTGCTTTTATCCTGTATATTGAAGCTGTGAACGTCAGCATCAACTCGAATGTGAAATTCAATTAGTGCATTAAAACACAAAATAAATCAATATAGCAATACAAAAATAAAGACAATCCAACGAGAATTTTTGCAATCAGGTTGTTTCACTTGTGAAAGTTCACAGTTAATGTTACTCACCATGGATAAAAACAAGAAATATGCCTTTTTAAGGGAACTGAACAACTGTTGCTATGATGATAAGGGTTTATGGTGTGCTGTCACGTGGAGATAACTCGCGTTTGGCACTGCATGCAGCGTTTTGGTCGTGAGCTATATATAAGTGGTTAAATAGGACGGTCTGTGGTCACTGCAATATCTACACTTGACCATCAGCTCTGTCCTACTACAGATACTGAATTGTTATTTGCATTTCCTTTAATCTGGCAGCAAATTATTTTAGAGTAAAGAGCGGCTAACCGCCTCTTTTGATTTAAGCAACAACACGACAATGGCATGTAGTTTAAGTTGTTATTCTTAAACCATCATCATTACTCTTTTACATCATCAAATAGTTCCTTGTCAGGTGACAAAATGCTTTCATGCCATTTTGAGGGGATGCATTCTAAAAACAATACGGTGTCATTTAGTCTATAAAAATAGAGCAAATAAAAGATGTCGTGTAGTGATCAAGAAAAATTCTTACTGCCTCTGACAGTATTGAGGTTAATGGAAGATGTTAACTCACTCAAAAATTTCACTTTTATGACCGTTTACATTTTGAATGCACAGACAGCTAAATGTAGTAACTCGTTGTAAAAGGCTGTGGCGACGCACATTCACTAACGAGATTTTCCCTCTCAACCCCTCTCTCTCTCTCTCTCTCTCTCTCTCTTACATTTCACTACTAGTTTAGTTTTCGGACTCCTGATGAGTGCTAGTGTATTCAGAATCATATCACAAATGATAACCATGAATCACTCACCGTGCCCTGATGATATTGAACGATGATAACAAACCTACACAGAAGACACCACAAGGATATTTGGCGTCCATGCTTCGTACAGTCGACAACTTGCCTGCTGGTACAGACCCAAAAAACTGTTGGCCAGCTACATGCTCTTCTAGCATACACATACATAAACGGTAGCTCTCAGTACTGTTACTACAGACACGACGGCAATAACTATTACTGTATATATACTCCAGTCACAGTAATAAACTGACTAGTATTAATTAAATCCAATATAGATACTTAAAGAAAAGGTCAAAATCAGATTAAACACACATCTACCCATCAATTGTTCTAAATAATCAACCGTACCAAATTGTGAGATCACCTTTGACATGAAATCATAAAACGATACTGCTGATAGGAGGGGGCTTGAACACATAGATAACGTATCACAATGAGTTTATCATTTGGGTTGAAGTGGAGTTCTAACATTATAGAGCAAGAGTCTTCTTACCTCCTGTCGCAATTCACGTCCCTTCATTCAAGTAACTTTCAATTTATATGATTCTAATTGATAACACGATGTGACTTGGTCTGCACTGTAAATGGCGTTTTAAAATTCACAAATTTACCTACTTTTTCATCCCATATGAATACCATGTGAAGTGAACATGAATGAGAGTCACTTCATTTACAATTTTATGTGCTGTGACAGATAGTTTGTATCCCCTCAAGTCAAAAATCTAAAATCAAAAACGAAACAGCATTTATATGGTTGCTTTTAGGCATATCACGTGGCGAATATCTTTAGAGTCCAAGAAGTTTTAAATTCAAATTGGCATAACTCGATAGCACATTTCTATATTTCATGGGTTCAGAAAATTCGACCGTTCGATGTAAATAACCCCAGAAATTAAATCAATTAAATCCCAGATCGTTGTTAATGAGAACAAATAACTTTCACGAAGCTAAAGCGTAAAATCTCAAAGCAATATTTACAAGAATAAAATCCTGCCCTCCTTCCTTCGATTTTTCTTTACCCTCGGTCAACTATGAGATTGTTTTCAGAATTTTTACTTACCTCCTACATAATATACAGTGTTTATCTATTTATTTATTCATTTATTTTTTTATATTCTGTCTCTCTGTCTGTCTCTGGCGCCTAATTGTCACTGGGGGGATGGGTAGTTGATTAATATACCTTAAATATATACCTTAAGTCACTAATGCCTCAGCCCAAGGCTGCGGTTACTCAGACGTCACTCAGAGGGTTCTCTGAGAATGTCATTCTAATGATAAAATCTTAATTACATAACTTTTAAGGGTAAACTTACATTATTTCTTCTGGACACATACCCTGACACTCTGTTTGTTTCACTTGAGCAATAAAGCTTAGTTGAGAAATGGTTGAATCATTTTGTTTGTCGCTAACAGCGTATTCCGGAAGGGAGTCTATTGAATGACACACCGTGACCTGTCATTTAGACCGAATGCTACAGTTAACTCAGATACAACATAGATTATACGGGCGCACCTCTACTGCGGGTTCTTATTGTTAGCAAAGCCCAAATGCTTTTTTCCTTAAACCGCAAACATCCTAGTTCCTAATTTCCTCATTCAAAAGGATTAGGATACATAGTGTAGGGCGGTGAAATACTGCCAAAAAAATTTAAAATGCACGCACGACATCGACGCCCAGTTATTCGAGTGGTAAAGCTGATTTGTAGGTCAAGCATATTCCAACTTAACTATTTTTACCTACTCTGTTGAACACGAAGATTCATCTGATGTCTATCAATGAAATCGGGTTGGTTTAATCATAGTGACGCGCATGTTAGTTACAAATTGTGTGGTTTGGTGGAGAGACCGACACGCCTTGGAGAACAAGCAATATTTAAAGCGACAGTAAACATTTATAAAGTCATTGTTTTGAAAAATAAATAAATTCATAGCATAACAGGTATTCAATGCATGGCATTGTATTGATTTTCAAAATTTATTTACTGATGCTAAAATACGAGAGAAAAACTGTGGTAAACAGACTTATCTCGGCCATAATTGTATTAATGCTTTGAATTGCATTACTGCAGTAACTAACACCGTTTATATGATAAATAATGCATGGACATTTACAATATGTTGTAATAATTTGAATTGCGATTATCGGAGACATTGATTTTGGCCTTTCGCTAGAGGTGTGCATCTAACTTACAGACATAAGTTGAAATACAGCTATCAGTTCCTTTCTTTGGTGTGTCACATACTGTAACAATTACCAACCTATGTTGTATGTGTCACACTCACAACCCTACGTAGAGTGTGTCACATGTTGTACCAGTTACAACCGTGACTGACCGGTCGTAAAAGTAGCTTGTATGCAAGAGCCAAATCGCCCACGATGATATGAAATAGCAGGGGATATACTTAACCTTGTAGACCAAACTTTGAGAACTTATGTATGAATACCAAACTGTGTTTTTTCAATATATCAAGAACTTAAGAAGTCCCTAGGTTGCAAACTAAAGAACCAATATTTATCACAGAATGGTTCAACTTGAGGATGTAAATTGTTTTATGGCTTTGAAGTAAACTTTTGTTAAAAACTGACATAACTACTCAGAGGTCGCCATTTTTCAAGCCATACAAAATTTCAGATCTCAACGCTAGCCATTGGAATTATATAATATTTACGTATGTTGTACTTTTGGATATTGTGACCAGCCAAGAACATCAGCGGGTTCTTCAACTCATCGACCTTTTAGCTGTCACATGCGCGGCCTTTATGTTGTGGATGTGAACCATGCCAAAATCACCTTTAATACAACGTGAAAGTCTGACATAACAAACTGATATTTGTGCCCTTTCCTTCTACCGCTGACAGTATTACGAAATCATCTCTTTGATACCGTTATAATGGGGCCATTAGCCCGTTTGTGAATTTACATACTAAACATTGTTTCATGTATTTATAGTTGATATATGAAAGGAGAGGAAGAAATTAATTGCTCGGTTCAATTATTGGTTGGTGTTGGTGGCGAGACCAGGAGTCACCCTGTGTTGCTCGAGTTCGGGGGGATTCAGGGGTTTGAAAGAACCCCCCCCCCTTTTGCCAGGAAATGTCCTCTCTAAGTAAAATTTTATCTAGGTACACGGTTCATGAGAAATGGTCCATTTTTTTCAGGAAAAGAACCCCCCCTTTTAAAATTTCTGGCTAGGGG